GTTGATTGGAGGAGTTATGTCGTTGCAGTTCATCCTATGCTCATGTGACCTCTGTTTGCAACCTTCACAGTCAATGAAGAAACTGGAGGAGGTTGCAAATGGCCACCATGTGACGTTGCATAAGTTGCTAAATGACAGCAACTAGAAGTCGTAAGTTGGTATGGTCCTATGATGATGTGTTTTTATGACCGTGTCACTTAGCGACAGAGATTCTGTTCCCAGTTACTGTTGTTAAGCAAGGACGATTGTACTTCCATTCCACAATCTTACTGTGTCGCCTCTCTAGGCACAGGAGCATGGACTAGAGCAGCATTAGGGGTCCTAGAATTATTTGCAGCCAATCTTAAAAGGGTCCTTAAGCCTATATTTGTCTTAGAAGTAAATCCAATGAAGTTGGGAGAAGCTTCTGTCCAAGTATTTTAGGATTAGTTGCAGCCTTAAGTTTTTTTGTCTTTGCAGGAACCCACCCCAGTCAAAAGGAAATTTGAGTTCAGCAAAGAAAATGCTGGCCTCTCATCAGCAACCAAGAAAGCTAACCCTGATAAGTCCCGCGTTACACACCCACCTTCCAAAAAACACAAAGGTGTGTGAAGAAAGGAGGGAACTTGCAAGTTGAAAACTTCATGCAGTACACAACATTTTTTCAATTCGTCTACTTATTTAATCAATAGTTTGTGTGGCCAAGCGTCTCCACAAGTCTCTCTGAGTGGCAAACAATACTAAGATAAGATGAAAGCAGTTGTACAAGCAATAGCCCTGAACCGAATATTTTCAGCACGTTAGACTTTATCCTTGTTACTATTATATCTTTATTAGATTCCAGAGTCAAATATTAAAATGCAAACTAGCATAAAAGGAAAAGGAAGCAGCAAAACCAATTTAAAATAACCCCCGAAAAGTATTATTCGTTTGATGTAAATATTTTTGAGCACATCCCCTTCTTGGAGTTTGGATTTCTAAGCATTGACTGTTACTGTTACAGGCTGGGTAATTTGCATCAAAGAATGAGCAAGGATTGCCGTTTCCATCTTTCCTAACCTTTGCATTTTGTTTTTGTTGATCTGCAGTTTCTCTCTCCACGTCTCCTCCCCAGAAGACGCTGCCTTTCAAAAAAGCTCTTCCAACGCAGTCTTCAGAGGAGACAGCCGCCAACGGGTCTTTCCAGCAACTCCTACAGGGTACTGTCTTCGTGCTGAGTGGCTTCCAGAACCCCTTTCGCTCTGAATTAAGGGACAAGGCCTTGGAGATGGGGGCCAAGTACCGTCCAGACTGGACCCCTGACAGCACTCACCTCATGTACGTGTCTGGTACCCAATGGGTCTATTCTCCTAAAACATGCATGCACCCCCACAAACTGGCTGGTTTCATACCGGTGCCTGATAGATTGCAATGGATCCCTCAATGCTGAGCGGCTCTGTTTCTCTTTCTAGCTGTGCCTTTGCCAACACCCCCAAATACAGCCAGGTGAAAGGGCTCGGGGGCACCATTGTACGGAAAGAATGGATCCTGGACTGTCACCGTACCCGTCGGTGCTTGCCCTGCAAACGGTGAGTTGTCAAGGGGAACAGGAGCTAGGTGGATTTCTACTCTGTCTTCATTTCAGACTGTAACTGGCAGGTTCCTTTTCCTAGGTACCTGATGGGTGGCCCCGATTCATCCAGCAGTGAACAGGAAGAGAGTGAGAAGGAGACCCCCGCTCCGCCTCGCAGACCTTTGACTCCTCAACAGGTAAGCTAGATGAGTTTGTTTCTATTATATGAAACTAGCTGGATTCCCGTCCTTCGTGACAAAACTTTGTGATCAGGCTATGCAGGAGAAATTCGGTTTACAATCCGTTGGCTCAGTGGTGGTCGGTGACTGAAACTCATAAGGGAATATCTCTCTCGCCGCCTTGAGTCCGGAAGCAGTTCCATAGGTGGAAGGCATAGACATTTTTGGTGAGGTACCGACGTTTAGGACTGTAAGGAGCCCCAGGCCGCTCCTGAGTGAAGGACTGGAACGTCTGCCAGTTTGAACTGAGATAATGGAATGTGAGGCAACTGGCAGTTGGAACAGAGTTCTTTTCAGGTGGGGAGGGGGAGTAGAACTCCTTAGCATCAGAGCGTGTTAATTGCTGTATTAAGAAGTAGTAATGATCTGATGGTCATTTCAAAAAACCCTTTCTTATCGAGCACCTAGAAGCACCAAATTTCAAGTTTGTAGGCATTATGGTTCTGGAGATTTCGTGATGAGTGAGTGGTACTTGGCTTTTATATATAGAGATATAGTGAAGTGAGTTTCATTGTAGGTTTTTCTTACCTGATTTGACTGTTATTTTGCAACCTGGGCATTAGTGTAAGTCATTGGACTGTAATCCTCTATGAGTGTTTTTCCTTTGTTGGGAAGATATCCAGGAATCTGTGAGGAGAGCCAGTTTGGTCTGGTGGTTTAAAAACACCACGCTGGAAAGCAAGGAACTGCGAATTCTAACCATGAAAGTCAGCTGGATGACTTTGGGCCAATCACTTCCTCTCAGCCCAACTCACCAACAGAGTTGTTATTCTGGGGGAAACAGGAGGAGGAAGGTGTGCTGGATATTTTCACTGTCTTGTGTTAACTATAGAAATAATTAAAGTGGAATATAAATAAATTAAAAAATATTAGAACTTAATGACAAAGAAATGTTCAAAAATGTGCCGCGGTGAGTTTGCCTTCCTCTGTAATGGAATCCTGTCTTTTCTGTGCCAGAGAACCAGTGTGCCAAGCCCCAACCACAAAGTTAAGCCTGCCACCAGCCCCAAAGTAACGCAGGCGGTGCCACCCAGAGTGTCTTCTGGGGAGGAAGAGGAGGAGCCCACCACCTCTCAAAACAGCATAACCCACAACAATTCAAGGGCATCCAGTGGGGATGAGAAATTTGCAGGTAGAGTGCAGCATAATTTGGGAATGCGGGGGAACGTTGCCCCCACAGAATCCTTCATTGATAGTAGCGGGGTTGGTGGTGAGTGGGGCGTGGGTGGTTGAAACCAAGATTCAGGTGCCTCTCTATACACCTAGTAGAGAGATTGCTTTAAAAAAAAAAAAAAAAGTCAATATTTACTTACCGCATTTTTCAGACTACAAGATGCTCCAAAGTATAAGACGCACCTAGCTTTTGGGGAAGAAAATAAGAAAAAAAAAAAATCTGCCTCTGGCTTCCAGTAATTTGCCTCCTTGCAGCAAACAGCTTGGTCAGCTTCAGCACAGCCTGATTAGCATAAGCAGCTGATTGGCAGTTGGATCTGCCTCCCAACGATCAGCTGTTTCAGGCTGCAGGGATTGCCATCGCCTGTTGCCACCTCTGGGCGCCGCATTTTCGGCCCATTCCAAGTGGTGAGGATTGGAACCGGCCGAAAACGAGATGCGTGGAGGTAGCAATAGGCAATGGCGATCCCTACAGCCTGAAACAGCTGATCGTTGGGAGGCAGGTTTGCTGTTTGCTGCAAAGAGGCAAATTGCTGGGAGGCAGAGGCCGAAAGTGGGGGGCCAGCGGCTGGGCAGGGCTTCGGCAACATTCGCTGTATAAGATGCAGAGACATTTCCATCCGTTTTTGGGAGGTGGAAAAAGTGTATCTTATACACCCCAAAATACAGTATATCAGTAAAGGAATGTATTCTAGAAAGAATAAAACAGGAATAATACAATTTCAACTTCTGCAGTTTCAATTTAAGTTAAATACTGAGCGTTTCCTTCCTTCATGTTAGGGCATATGCAAAACCAAAAAGAATCATTGAATGCACTCTTACAGATACGTAGGCTTTTGTAAAAAAAAAGTAGTTTTTAGAATTATATTCAGTTGCCTGTTGTCTTACTTCTGTCACCTATCCCCTTGGGGTTAATTTATTGAACATCTAACCACCTTCCAGGCTCAGGGCGCTGATTTAACCGAATAACCTTGTAGAGATTGTCGAAGGGGTTAATGAAGGATTCTTGCTTCTCTGAGACAGCTAATCAGCCGTCCACTTCCCACCAGTCATCAGGACAGTTTACCCAGCGGTTTGACAGTGTGGGGGCATAAAAGAGGCTGCTGGTGATGCCTTTCTGCCTTTCTGCTGCCTCTTAGGTCTTCAAGACAACGGAGACGAAGGGTCTGGTGACACTGATGACGAGTTAAGAAGGTTGGTTCAAATGATATCTGTGGTTGTTGATCCTCCCTATGCAGGCTGCTGTCAACTCATAAAATATTCCTATGCCTGTTTTAGTAGTTAGTAGTTCAGTAGTAACTAAACTACTGGAGCTTTTGCCCAAACGTGCTCAATTGAAGAATCTGGTTTATGAGACACCGGGGGGTTGGGGGGGGACTGTAAATGATATATGCCAGAGTTGTTGGCTCTATACAGGGCAGGGCCAGTATGTCGCCTCTAATGAATCCTTTGAAGTTTTTTGAAGTTTGGCTTGAGAATCATGATTTAATTAGGGCGATTGCTGGAATCCTGACAGCTGCATCACTTAGTAACTGAAACAGAGCTTGCCATCTTAGATTCAATGGCAGGGGTCCCCAGACTTGGCAAGTTTTAAGACTTGTGGATGCTAGCTGGAGAATTCTGGGAGTTGAAATCCACAAGTCTTAAAAGTTGCCAAGTTTGGGGACCCCTGTTCTATGGTTTGAAGCCTGGAGGCCTTTGGGGGCTGTGGTGGATCCTCTCCCCAAGCTGATTCCGTGTCTCCTCTGGCTTAGAGTTGAAGAGGAGCACCGCAAAAAGCAGCAAGGTGGACGGAGGCTAGTCCCAGAACCAGACAACGACCCCTACGCTGGTTCCACTGATGAGAATACAGATGTTGAGGAACAAGGGGAGCCAGATCAGCCTATCCCAGAACTTCCAGGTTTGTCCAAACCGATCTAAAGTTTGGTATTTCTTTTTATTTCTTTTCTTAATTGAAATTCCAATCTGTGGGATTATTAGTCCGTTACTCTTTAGCTAAATAATAAATATCTAATACAGAGAGTCAGCTGGGACCATAACTTCCATTACTAAAGGCTGCAGTTTTTAAGTGAGGTTCTGAGACTGGCCCAAAGTCATCCAGCTGGCTTTTATGTCTAAGACAGGACTAGAAGTCACCATCTCCTGGTCTCTAGCCTGCTGCCTTAAACCACTAGATGAAACTGGCTGAACGATTAGAGAGCTAATAGGTATGTTTGGGTTGTCCAGCCTTTGTTCCATTTCTCCCAAGATCTTTGCTTTTCCTTTCCAGATCTGTTTGTGGGCAAATGCTTCTTCCTTTATGGTGAATTCCCTTCTCAGGAACGACGCCTCTTGAATCGCTACATCATTGCTTTTAACGGGTGAGTTTTTACAGGAATATAACTGTAGGGCTGTCCCATTGCCTAAATGTGATGCTGCATTACATCTGTAGAAGATGTCATTATCTCTCTATACATAAAAGCGAAATACCACTTATGCATCATCACAAAATCTCCAGAACTGTAAAGCCTACAAACTTGAAATGTGGCACATATGTTCCTCTTGGCTTCTAGGTGCTCACTAAGAAAGGATTTTTCAAAATGAACCATCAGAGCCTTAGAATTTCCTACATTATTTTTATTAAGAGGCTCTGAAGCTAAGGAGTTCCACTCCCTCTCCCCACCTGAAAAGAAATCTCTTCCAAATGCAAAACACAAGCAGGGAGTTTCCGTTTCCGTTTTAGTTTCACAGCAGCAAGCAGCTTTAGTACAGAATAGTTGAGCTAAGCCACGCCCAGGCTTCTTGCTGTCTCCTTCTTGGTCACACAGCAAATACTCTTTCAGTTTCCAAACAGCCCTCAACTCTCACACACTGACAGGACGCTAGCCAGATAAATACCAATGAAGGCTGGTAGACAGAGGCATAATTTTTCCCCCTTATTTTCCTCCCCAAAAACTAAGCCCAATCACACACACACACACACACACACACACACACACACGGACCAGGAATGGGGGACCCCTGTCCTAGACGATTTCTTGTCTCTAGAGAAGAAGAAAACTCTCTAAAGGCCACACATTTTGACTTCTTGCAGGGAACTGGAGGACTACATGAACGAGCGTGTAAACTATGTGATCACGGCTCAAGAATGGGATGACACATTTGACGAGGTGAGCTTGGATCTTCAGGCTTCAGGGAAACTAGCCCAAAAGGACAGACCTTTAATCCATTCAACAAGACCGATCGGACCATGCATGCTATAATTCTGAAGGCTTTGAGGAATGGTCAGATTTACATTGAGTAAGTCATCCCAGTCTTCTGGCGATCCATCGTTCATGTCAGGAGCAAGGAATGAAGACTATACGTTAAATTGCAGAAAATGCGGTGGGTTCTCCTGGCCTTGAGAGGGTGGTGGTGTTGGACTAGATGACCTACAAGGTCCCTTCCAACTCTGTTAATCTGTAAAACCCCTGGGAACTTTTTATGTAAGAACTTAGTCAAGGCTAAATTGGCTCCAGAATAAGGTGCAATGAAATTGTTGAAAGGAGAAAAGTGGATGAGATGGTGATAGGGGAAATTTTTGGAGGACTCCTCTTTCATGGAGCAAATTGGAGGAGGCATAAAAGCTCATTCCATTGCGCTGTCCTGCGGGGTCTCTCAACCTTGGGAACTTTAAGAAGGGTGAACTTCAACGCTGGCAGGGGAATTCCGGGCGTTGAAGTTCCAAGGATGAGAAACACTGCCTGAGTCGGTACAACGAGATGAAGTTTCCAGAAAGAAGAGGAGGAGGAGAAGGAGGAGAAAAATATTAATTTGAATGCCGGTATTAGCCTGGTTCAACAGTGAGTGGTGTGGTGGCCTACAGGTTGAGCTCTCGCCTCACAAACAGGAGGCTGCAAGTTCAATCCTAGGTAGAGGCAGCTATTTCTCTCTCTGGGCAACAATGAGAATATGTCCGCTGGGGAAAAAAACCTCCGCATTGGTGGCAGGAAGGGCATCCGGCCAGTGATCACTCAGATCCATTCCGTTGCCGAGATTCCACCCCCGCAAGGGATGATGGGGGCATTAAAAGATGATGATGATTAACCAGTTTCAATAGTCTCTTGTCTACAAATAGGCTGGGTTCTGTCACTACGAGCAGCTCCAAGACTGTTGATGGTCTCTTTCCTTAATTTTGGCTGCAGGCTCTGAATGAGAACCCCAACCTTTCCTTCGTGCGTCCCCGTTGGATCTACAACTGCAATGACCGGCAGAAGCTGATTCCCCACCAGCCGTATGTCGTGGTGCCGCGAGCATAGGAGGATCCCATCCTGCTGGAGTTTGTATATAATGTATATTCGTCTCTCTTGGGGGAAGATCCTTAGCCTCCCGGCTAGTTGAAACAGGGCACTCCTGCTGGGAGAAATTGCCTTCCTTTGAAGCCCTCCAACCTTGGGGTGGTTTGGATGGTCTTCGTTGTGTTCCGCCCACCCACTCAGTTCCACCACATCATGTCGGAAGCCAGTCTGCTTTTGGGAAGCAATGCTTGCTGCGGGCTGCCTCTGGGAACAGGGCTAGAGTCCATCTTCCAGGATGGACAAGGCGCTCCCTTAAAATTAGAGCCCAGGGTTCAACGAAGGCGAAAGTTAATGTACAGAACAAATTCGCAGGCCTCTTCTCACGCCTTTCTATTTCTTGCCCTTCTCACTACCCATTTAGTATTGGTGGTCTTACTTCTCTTCTCTGTCTCCTCAGGCATGTGTCCTGGCTGAGCATTTTTGCCTCTCCCTACAGGCGTGTCTTTTTTTCATACCCTGAACCCCTTACTGCAGCAAACCTTATTTTCTTAAGCAGGTAGTTTGGGGTTTCGCAGAAGAAAAACCCGTCCCGTTTTTTCACCTAGGGTGTTTTCAGTTTCACGATAGTACGGATGGGGCTTGTCTCCATCGTTGGTGTAGATAAACCTCTGTTGATTGTATCTGCAGGCAAAGCCAAGCTCGTTGCTATAAAATGCAGAGATCGACAAATCGCATTCATGCCTTCCATGTGCACATTTTTCACCTCAAAAAAAAAACAAAAAAAAACCCACCCAGGAAAAATGGCATCCCGTAACCCCGCCCAATCCTGGCTTGTGTTGGCAAATGCCCTTTTCTCATTAGAAGTGTTACATACGGGCTCCATCAGCTAAATGAACACTTTCCCATACCAATTATTTGAAGAGGAGGGTGTTTGGCCTAGATCAGGGGTCTCCAACCTTGGCAACGTTATGCCAGCTGGGGAATTCTGGGAGTTGAAGTCCTTCAGGCTTAAAGTTGCCAAGATTGGAGAGCCCTGGCCTAGATATCCGATGGTAGCAAAGTTGAGAACGGAAGTATTAGAAGAAACCATGATTGCTTTAACCGTATCACAATTTCTGGGGTAGGCTTGTGTGGCTGAAGTCTTCCTTTCATTTTCGAGGAATTTTTCCCAAGTTCCTCTGTAGGAAAATAAGAAACTGCTTTAGTTAATTTCATGATGGAATTGTTCGTTTTCCGCAGAGCATCGTCAGTTTCACTATGAATTGTTTTGGCCCCTCCTGCTTCTTCGGAAGGAAAAAATATTGGACCATTTGTATAGGTTCTTTTTGGAGTAGTGCTTCTTAACCTTGGCAGCTTTAAAATGAGTGAACTTCAACTCCCAGAATTCTCTAGCCAGCAGAATTCTCCAGTCAGAATTCGGGTTGGGGAACTCTGGGAGTTGAAGTCCATGCATTTTAAAGTTCTCAAGGTTAAGACTATTTTCAGAATGACATCCCATTCCCCAAAGTTCACGTTCCTTCCCACTTTTCAGTTGCTGTAAACTGGGCTGGGATGTCTTGAATAATCTACCTCATTTTTACAGCTGGTTTCTTATTTCCCAGTTCTATATTCGCAATCAAACCAGCCATTCTATTCTTGGTTTTCTTACTTCCTTGCTTTCACAGGAAAAATGTTAATCGGTTGTGGGAGTGTTTTACTTGTGATGGGCACTGCAGAATTGGAGGTCCATCTCTTGTTGAGACATTCGTCAATTGCGGTGTATTCATTATTCTCAAGCAGGTTTTTTTTTTATAAAGATTCCAAGATGGAAGCCAGAGATTTTCCCTGGAGCCTGAATTTTGTTCTATGTGCTGAAACTCTCAACCCTCTCATTAGGAGGGAGCTCTCCTTCCTACCACTTCTTTTTTTAAAATTCATGAAGTAGAATAATTTTGGCTGTACTTTCATTCCTTCTCATCCTTTATCCTGGCAATTCAGAACTTATCCAGACAAGGAGCGGCTAAAATATTAACAAACATTCCATTCTGGATGGAGTTTGCTCAGTTCTTCCCAACTTGAGTGGATTTCCTTGGTACAGATTATGCAGGCCTGTCTGCCCCGCAAAAGACACCACAGTTTTATGGACTTCCATTCCCAGAATTCCCTAACTAGTCTAATAGTTAGAGAATTCTGGGACTGAAAATGTGCACGTCTCGAAGGGGCCAGGATTGGAGAAGGTTGTATTAGAGCATATTCCTGGTCTCAGAGGATGGAATGTTTGCAAGGGAGGCTTGTGTCGAGAAATTAGTTTTTAAGAGCACATTAAAAAGAGCACAAGAGGAATTTGCAAGTGACTCTTTTAATGATGCCAAATTGTTAAGGAGAAAGGGGTAGCCTTGGCAGCTAAACTAGCTGAATGCTTTACTATTGTACAGTCCGTGTTCCACAAAGACTCAAGGGCTTGCTTGTTTTCTATAAATTTACACCTTGGTTCAGCAGTTGTTCTGAGATTCCAGCGACAAAACTACGGGATACTGTATTCTTGTTCTCTTTTCCTATCTCATGTTATGGTTTTAATAAAACAAGATGGAAGTCTCCAGGCGACATCTTTTAAGAACCTGTCAACGCTGCCAGGGAAAGATAATATTCCTCTGTGACCTCAAGTAGGACTCCTCTTCTCTTGGTGAGAAGATAAGCTTTTAAATATTTTACAAGCCTCTAGTGCTTCAGATGACCAGGGGCAGTTCTTAAAAGGGCTTCCAGTCCTTCCAATTTCGAATTTAAACTGCTTCCAGTTCTTTCAAGTGAGGCAATGAAAACAAAACGAGGGCAGAGAGGTTTGAAAGTAAAGTACCGCATAGTAAAAGCTGTGTACTGTACTTTGCCCTGGCTTTGCCTTGTTTGTAGAGCCCCAGGTGGATGTTTAAGCCACTTTCGGAAACCATACCAACAATACAACGTCCAGGAGTGAGCTAGATAGTCCCCAAGGTGCTTTTTTTTCAAGAGGCAACTGGGCTTTCTGGTTTGGGTTTGAAGACGTTTCGCTTCTCATCCAAGGAAGCGAAACGTCTTCAAAGAAAACTAAAGCCCAGTTGCCTCTTGAAAAAAGCACCTTGGGGACAACCCTGACCTGAGAATCTCCATAGACTAGTACTTGATACTTCTTAGGGTTAGGATCGGGGTTTTGTGAGTATATACTGCTTTTTTTTATTTTTTAAAAAGTTGAAACTGCCATGTCAGAGATCTAAGCTGGAATGTTCTGGGTATTTGTTGTAAGTCAAGGACTAATGCCTTTAGTATTAGTATTAAGTGTTAAGCATCAGCTAGGAGAGCTGAGAATTTATTAGATCAGATAGTTGTCTGCTTAATTAAGCTTCGTGTTTTTAGCAAAATGATTCGCTCTTTGTAAGCTTCCAAAAAGAGATGGTGCCATCTAGCTTAATGAAGAGAAGGACTAGGGGTGACATAGCAGTGTTCCAGTATCTCAGGGGCTGCCCCAAAGAAGAGGGAGCCAAGCTATTCTCCAAAGCACCTGAGCGCAGGACAAGAAGCAACGGATGGAAACTCATCAAGGAGAGAAGCAATTTGGGACTAAGGAGGAATTTCCTGACAGTGAGAACAATTAATCAATGGAACATCCTGCCTCCAGAAGTTGCGTGGGCTCCAAGTCTGGAGGTTTTTAAGAAGCGATTGGATAACCATTTGAGTGACATAATATAGAGTTTCCTACCTGAGCAGGGGATTGGACTAGAAGACCCCCCAAGGTCCCTTCCAACTCTTGTTATTCCAATTGTAATCTGTCTCTGTCTTTGCCGAGATGCAGAAATGGGGCTTTGGGGAACACAGGAAGCCCTTGATTGACAGCCAGTTGCTTAATGATTTATGAAAGACCCACCCAAAGGACCTTAAGACCCGGTTCTGAAGGTCTGATGGCCCCTTTCCCTTCCCCACCTCCTCCAGGTCACAAGACCGCCTTGTTGCATGTTCGACAACCGGCCCTCATTTATGACCATTGGCAGCATCTCATGACCACATTTTACTACCTTTTTGGGTGTGTGTGTGTGTGTGTCAAAAACCAGCTTTTACTTTTGTGTGTGTGTGTGTGTGTGTGTGTGTGTGTGTGTGTGTAAAAATAGCTCAGCGAACAATGGATTCGCTTTACAACGGCTACAAAAAAAAAGATAACGGGTCTGGTCATGTGATGACCTTGGTTTTACGATCATCACAACTTTGTGAATGCAAGCAAACTCCATTGTGGTCATTAAGTCGAGGACTACCTGTATACAGATTCCTTCTAGCATCTAGCCCACATGCTGGAGCTCACAGGCTGTGACTGACTTACCTTATAAAACCGCAGCCTTTCTCACACACACCAAGTTTTCAAAAATGCGTTTGCTTTTTATATTTTATTTTATTTCAAGAAAAATAAGATGAAAAACTCCAGCATCTAATGGAGCTTCACTTTTTTTTTTTTGTTTAGTATTGGCTACGAACAGACTAGGAACCAGTCACACATACTTCCACCTGCCTTTCACCCAAACCTGAATGATGGGGAGTTGGTGTGTGCTAGTGTGTGTGTGAAAAGATGCACCGCAGGTAGCCTTCGACTTACAACACTTCATTTTGGGACCATTCAAAGTTAGCAACAGCACTGGGAAAAAAAGTGACCCATGACCGTTTTCACACCGTTGCAGCATCCCCAGGGTCACATGATCAGAATTCAAATGCTTGGTAACTGACTCATATTTATGACGGTTGCAGAATCCCCTTTTACGACCTCCTGACCATTAAACTCAATGTGGGAAGCCGGACTTGCTTAACAACCACGTTACTAATTTAACAACTGCAGTGATTCGCTCAACAGCATGGGCAAAGGAAGGTCGTAATACGGAGCTAAAAACTCACTTAACCAATGTCTCCCTCAGCAACCGAACTTTTTGGGCTCAGTTGTGTTTGTAAGTCGAGGACTACCTGTGTTAGGTTTTACTAACTGTTGAGGGGAAAAAAATGTGTGTATTAATTGTGGATAGGAGTGAAAAGCAAACCTGGGTCCAGAAAAGCAGGGGAGAGAAAAAAAATCCCAGAGGGAACTTAATATTCAATAATGAGGGCAAAAGAGCAACTGTCGGTGTCTTGAGGCATGTGGTACAACTAAACCAAACACACAGGAGTAAAGAAGGATTAGCAGGCTATAAAATTGTGTGTACTACATGGCGAAAATAAAGTTATACAGCCCCTTTTAGCCGGAGAAATTCATGTGTAAAATCTGCCTTCTACGCGTACTACTGGATGCAGTTGCTTCACCCTTAATACACAACCCACACTAAACCTGGCCTGAGGCATCTTTTGATGCAACGTGTAAACAACAAACCTGGACGGTAATGCGGATTTGCCAAATGACTTTTCTGCTCCTACCACTCTTTAAAACATAAATGTTGCCTACTACTCTTGCCTGGAATTTGTGTCTTAAGCGATCCCACTGGTGGATTTCACCAATTGCCACGTTGTCAGACTCAGCTTTTGTTTTGTAAAAAAAAAACCCAGAGATTTTCTTCTTAAAGCAGACCCAGCTCGTGTCCAATATGATGTGCTCAGTTCATGCATATTAAACCTTCCATTTCCACGGCCAAAGGTTGACTGGTCACGGCAGCTGCAACAGAGCCCCCTGTATAATGCACGTTGAAGATACAAGTTTATAGAGCTTTGGATTACAGGGATGCTGAGTTCCACATTCTGACAGAAGCATGCACCAGTTGAGCATAAAACGAAACTATACACAGCCACAGACAAGAGGTTTCTCCTTTTGTGCAAAGCACACAACAGGTTTTGCTCTGCTGACAAGTGAGGTTTGGTGCAGGCATTCACTTCTCTAAATGCGATTAGTGGGAAAATCTCAGCGATGGTTTTTGTTTCCTTGGCACGGAACTGACGTGGTCTATGGAGTAACCGGGATTGTTATTTTTGTGAGAACCAGAAGGTTAAAACAAATTGTGAAGGTGCAGAAGTCTGCACAACTTAAACCAGGTTGTAGAATAGGCCACTGGTCACTGCAGAAACCAGGTTACCAGAAGAGTTTTCAGCACGGTGCGTGCCGGTTGGCCTCTGGAGAGGGGAGCCTGTCATTTGGCCTTTTTGCCATCAAAGCTGAGAACAGAGGAGTTATGGGTTGCTGGAGGTTACGGTGCAACCCTGACCTCCACCATAACTTTCCATTATTTACAACGATTCCCACAGCTACCAAGTTTTCAAATTATCCAAGTTTCTCCCTTGCAGAGCCCAGCGGTTCCAACTCAGGCTCTGTCCCCACTGCTGTGGCTCTTGTCCTGGGCTAAGTCGTCACCCGCTTCTCCGTCCTCGTGCACCCGTTGGTGAAGGGTGAGGTTGCGCAGCTGCCGGAAACTCTTGCTACAGCGCATGCACGGGTAAGGCCTCCCCGCTGCGGTGGCCGCATGGATCTGCTGATGGGCAGCCAGTTTGGAAGGGTAGCAGAAGCTCTTCCCGCAGCGGCTGCAGGGGTACGGCCGCTGCCCCGTGTGCGTGCGGCGGTGGGCGGCCAGCTTGGAAGGGTAGCAGAAGCTCTTGGGGCAATCAGCACATTTATACGGGCGCTCCGGTGTGTGAATCCACTGGTGGGCGGCCAGCTTGGAGCGATGTCCGAAGCGCTTGGGGCATAGAGAGCAAGGGAAGGGGCGCTCCCCGGTGTGCGTACGTCGGTGGGCGGCCAACTTGGATGGGTAACTAAAACTCTTGGGGCAGTCGGGGCATTTATAAGGGCGCTCGGCGCAGTGGGTCCATTGGTGGGTGGCCAGTTTGGAGCGGTACACGAAGCGCTTGCCACAGTCTTTGCATTGATAGGGACGATCGGAGGGCAGGACAGCAGGAGGCCGCCTCCGGCGGGGACGCGGTGGCTTGGGAGACTCCGTGGCGGGTGGGGAAGACAGAGGTGAAGGCGAAGGTGACTTGGCGTTCTCCTTCAAGGCTTGGGAATCTGGAAGGAAAGGAGAAAATTTTTTAAAATAATAATAGAAGATCCCTCACCAAGCATCCCTTTTCCTGCCTCAAATTCAAGTGCTGTTGTCTGCCAATTATTCTGCAAGTAGAATACAGGCAGTCTCTGTTGAACGGCCATTTGTCCAGCAACTAGTCAAAGTTACGATGGCCCTGAATGAGAGTGTTTTCTCATCGTTGTGGCTGTCGGTGACAACGATTCGGGAATTGGCTTGGCCATCGCCTTGCCATTGCAACACCCCAGCAACTTGTGGTCACTGAGAGGTTGCAATTGCGACATCCAAATTTGGAGGCTACACAACGGGCAGCG